AACTCAGGGTTGGTCATTCGATTGTTGGAATCGATGGTCTTTGGGGGGCTTTTCAAGGAGTTTTCGATTGTGTTGCTTCCCTGTGAGCAGGGCCTTGATGTGACACCATTTCAGATGATGGCTTCAGACGTTGACATTCTTTCTTGCTGCGGAAGTCAATGTGGATACGGGTGGGCTTTTTATTGGATAATTTACCATAGCAGTAATCAAATCAGTGGGCAATTGCATTTATCCCATCCTGGGGTTTAACATATTTCCTGTCTGTTTATGGTCTTCATTCGGTTACTAAAGTTCTTCCTGGCAACAGACATTCAGCTCGTGAGCTGTCCCAAGGATTTCCCGTCGAGACATCTATGCTGCAAGTACGTAGGGTAGTATTGTCGATGGGAAAATATCGAATATTTACGTGTGCCACTAATTCCTGCCATTTTAATTTATCCGTTATTGGACCCCCAATAACAGATAAAGTAAAATGTTGGCTAATCAACTGCAAGTCTAGGTGTACCGATGATGAAGTAGCAAAAACGCTTCTCGTCCACTTCCTTCTTACTTGGATTTTCGTAGCAAAATGTGGCAAACATAGTGCGCCTTGTCGTTTATAGACGTTTTTAACACTTCACCTCTCGCATTAATAGCTTGCTCTCGTTGTAGATGCTATGGAGGTTATCCCTTCCGAGCATGGGAGTACGTCCAGAAGAGTGGTGTGTGCAGTGGAGGACGGTATCAGGAAAAGGTGAGTGGAAGAATGGCAGGTTATGTTGAATGGTGTCAAAGAGATTGTCGATCGGCTTGGCATGTGCAGGGCTTGTCATGACTTCTCACTCCTTCCTCCCTCTCCTTTAGCAGGGTAACCATTGGGGTCTCTTAAATTGTCTAGTTGCTGGCTGGCAGCTGAGCTCTCGTTGACAGGCAGGGTTGAGCCGAGTGTAGCATGGAATCGAGCGGAGTAAATAATACCACAGGCAGGAAATGTGAAGGGGAATTTGTTGCTTTGATAAATATGTGATGAAGGGGGATGGGAGTGGATCTTACGTGTCACTGTTGAGACCTATGAAGCGGAGCTGAAGCAAAGTTCAACCTGCCGGAATGCTTGGCATCTAGCTGGATTATAATCTCCAAAATCGATGAAGAAGTAAAGTATTAAGTGGAACGAGCTGTTGCATAAGGACGGTGGGAAAACTACTGGGGATAAATCCATGTGAAACGATGGAGTACGCTCATAAATGGTGCCATGAAGCTCTTGATGAACCAATGAACTCATGCAGAATGAAAGGGCACTGTTTGGTTGGTCTTCTCAGGTTAGCAGGCACGAGACATCTGGGGGAAAAAAGTAAGGAATTGTGAGTATTGTGAGGGATGATATCCTTGATTGATTCTCTACTCGCAAGTGCTACCCAAAGAAGTAGATTTTCCCCACCGTTCAAGGGGAGAATGGTTCCGCTGGTGCAGTAGCGTGTTACTAAGTGTGCAGGAACGGGGTTGGAAGACAGTGATGCCTGGGTGCCATCTCGAGCTCTCTCTGCCGCACGGTCACCCACACGCCCTATCCATAAACAAGTGCGATGCTTGCTTTTCCGATGGTTCTTCCCCTCTGAGTGCATGTTTGTATGCCTTGGTATCGAAGCAAAAGCTGCACGTTGTGGATCAGTGCGGTAGGGGTATGGACGGGCATCCCGGGTATACTCGCCTCTCCGTTCCCATTACTTTCAACGGAGAAAAAGGTATGGCCCAGCCGCAGCTGTGGTTCCCATTGGCCCAAAAACCTGGATGAGGCAGGGGGGCCTAGGTGTGGCAGTTTGGCGTTCCAAGTGGCGAATGCCCGCAGGCGAGTCCTGACCAGAAATTACTTGAGAAGTGTGGAGAGAAGATAGTGTTTCACTAGTGATTCGATACGAGCGCGTGCGTCTTATGATGAACCCTTCAGTGCGCGCCAGTACTCTACGACTAATGACTATACTTTCCAGAGCGTTTGCAAAAGCGCAATACCTTTCTCTCCGTTGTGGAACACGCAACCAGACTATATGGGAATGCCCTAGAGAGACCACCTCTACCGAACACCGGATTGCAAAAAGTACTGCGAGTATGGATACGGAAAGCGCTACAGTAAAGACAAAATCTACGGTATCTTTCACAGTGTCACTTTCAGATTATCTCTACTTATTTCTAACACTTGAGGTGATATGAAACTTTTGGTGCGGGTGGAACTGATTCCATAATTCTTTATTAATGTTTATTGTCTTGTTCTTCATGTACGGCGAAGGTTTCGGGGAGGGGGATCGTAGTGGACATCGATGAGGGACTTTAGGCTGGCGCAGGAACCCTAACTTTCAATCTCTAGAGGCCTTTTCCATCTGCTTTTTTATCAAGTATGATCGGGTTCTGCTTCAGCAACTTCGGCATCTGCTGTCAGCAGTGATGAAGGAGGCTATCCGAGATCGAAATCCTACAATAAGGGACAGATCAAGGCGTCGTTCAGCCCAGTCTATCGACGACGATTTGGTGGGTCATACACGGGAAATGGTAGTCTACGTGTGAGGACTTTTATCCTATTCTGGAAAGGTTTTAGTATTGGACGCCAAGCAGGTCAAAGGCTGGGTGCGCACACTGACGCCGATCCGGCCTCAGTTGCTGGATTGTCGGCGAGTGAATGACGAAGGGACCATGGCATCACATCTGATTTAAGTCAACCTCACTAATAAGTAGTGTTAGTAGTGTTCAGTTTGACCACGTAAGTTCTTCTTTTCTGATTCCAGAACACAGGCGGCAAAAAGCAGGGCGGACACGCTGTGAAAATCATTGGTTGGGGAGTGGAAATGGCAGCGGGGAAATATTGGACGATTGCCACTCGTGAGATACCGACTGGGAGAAGGATGGTGGGTCATGAGACTTCATTACTGATCTGGAAAATGGTATTTTTCACACACTTGATGATTATTCCCATTAGGGACATCTGCACATTTTTATCAGTCGTCATAAGGCTTCAGCAAGGTCTGCAGAACTTTGTTAGCGAGAGTTTCAGTGCGATGCGCAGGGGTATGTGACAAGACAATCGTAATATGCCGCGCTTATGAGCATGGCGAGCGACTCCCAAAAAAGATGAGAGGAGTTGTCCTGCCAGGCGGTTTGAATGTGAGGGTTGATGGGACGGACATGTCGCACATCATGTGGCAAACGAGTTTCTCCGCTCCAGTCGACATACTGCGATTGCTGTCGCTGCACGGATGCGCCGCGCTCAACGACGAACCACGATTGTCTTGTCCGTCTGTGTCGGTCGGACATACGAACAGTGCTGAATCGCCACTACCTCCCCGCACGCTAGCGCGCGGTCAAATAGTTTTCTAGCGTGATTTCTAGAACGGTGATGCGTCCCGAGGTTGCAATGCTTGCTCGTTAAATGCTTAGCTGTACATCAACTGAATAGACAATGACGCATTGGCGCGTGGCGCGCGCCCCAGGGTCGCGGAGTTTCCGGTGATAAAAGCCTGGTACAAGCGCTCAGAGTATCTCGAGCAGTCCACATCCAGGTGCTACAACCTGAGGGTAACCAGAACTAATCTCAAAGTACTCCAGACTTACATAAGGTCTTGTCACCTTCATCGTAAATGCCAGTTCTGAACTACTGATAGTCGCTGATAATCACCGACCACCCACAGCTCCCAAAGAAAACTGTGACATGTATGTCAGAATGATAATTTGGCGCGAAAGAAGGCGCTGGGAGGTAAAACTGACGGTAGGAGCTGGTGAGGCTGATTAAAGCGTTGAACCTAATTAAGGGTAGCTTCAGAGCCCGCAACATGTCGGCCTTAGCGCTAGTCCATTGTTTGTATTCATCACAAATTTGAAGTGAAGATTAGTGTTTCGGCTTTCTTAGAACATTTTCTTAAGGTTATTTCCGCATGATACGTGGAGTGGACCATTGTGGAATCGAGTCAGAAAATCGTCGCAGGGGTTTCAGCAGCCTGAACGTCTCGTGTGCGATGCGCATGGGTCAAATAAATCCGTTTTTTAAGAGGCTGCTCGTGGTAGTAGGGCTGGGGTTACTATCCTACTACGTATCTCATCTTGCTTGCAGTAGTCATCGAGTTGCCCCAGCAGGACCAGCAACATCACAGCTCGTCCCTGGAGAGCGCTAGAGTTGCCATGTGGGTGCTATGGACCCGGTGCACACAACGCGTTTTCCGTACCATTGCTTGAAAACTTCTTACATGTACGTCCCGTGAGAATGAGGAGTACTCTTCATGAATAACTTATCACCAAAGATCCGAGGAGTCAAGGAAGATCATTGAGATATGGAGTTTTTCCTTCCTGTTATACCTCTTAACTTCTACAAGGCGAGGAGGATTTGCGCCGCATGTGAAAAGAGAAACTGTTCAAAGTTAATTCAATATTGTCAACACGGTTCGGCCTCCGCAGCTTTCATGAAAAAATTACGAAGATAACCTATGAAGAGGTCATCGATTAAAGTTGGATTGCAAAGGGACGGGTGCCACAAAGGCGGGGAATATGTGTGGCCCAAAATCTCCCGTCTAGCTGTTTCATTCTATCAGTTTCTTCTTCTGACTGCTCGAACATTCTGTTTCCCTGATGGTTTTGGTGAAGCTCGATATGAGGGCATCGAAGGCCAGTAGGCTCGGATAACAGGGAAAGTGCGTTTCTTTGATCAGAGCTATCTGTTTTGATTATGACGTTCGAACATTCCTAGCCTTCTCAGCTGCTCAGATAATGGAAATGCTAACATTTTCAACGTTCTTTAATGACAATTTGATGATGCCCTAAGCGACTTAAATGTACTTTTCGTTGCTTATCAAAAAAGTCACACCCTTTTCACATAGGAAGGAGCACTTGGGTAGATGGGCATTACAAAATTGTAATGGATGGTCTCGAATAAAGCTTATAGCCAAATAGAGAACATTCTAATGTTGTCCTTAAACTTTTCCGTTCGGCACGGTATATCTGTTGGGACAAAAGATGTCGCCAATCGAGCATGCGTTTGGTGCGGTACTATCGATTTGAATGCACCGCACAACTGCTACCCATCACGAACCCCAGCACTATTTAAGTATCTCTCTGGACTGTCCAAGTGGTCTATGACTCGAGGTTCGGAGCAGGGTTTATTTGAGTAAAGTAGCCACAGAGGAAATGGATGCAGTGTGCAGCTCCTGCTTATTGGGCCGTGTCTTCATGTCTTATGGACTTTTTATGATATAGGCAGAATCCCGCAGCCAGCAAAGGTTATATTGAACAATCCTGGACTTTTGGGCTCTGCCTAAACCATTTCGAGGAAATGAATTGTAAGATAAGGCCTCCAAATCACAAAACGCTGCAAAAAAAACGTAGAGAACATCTTGAGCAGAGACCTCGCTGAACAAGTTCTCCGGATGTACTCGTTTTATGCCAGCAAAGAGATATCATGCAATTCAATAATGTTTTCTCGCGTCATTCAACACTAATACCATCTAACAACGAAAAAAATGGAAAACTGGTGAAAAACTAACAACTTGTGACAGACAATAGCATTTAAATTTGGGTGGGCGGGATAACTAGGGCTGCGTCAGGAATGCTACTTATGGACTTCGGTTACTCACTGTGGAGCAGCAAAAAAAGCGATAATCTCAGAGACTGAGGGATGGACTACTTTCTACAAGAATAGCAAAAAAAAGCGATAACCTCAGAGACTGAGGGATGGACTACTTCTACAAGAATGGACGCCTAGAAGTTACTCGAGCGCAGCTTTAAGGCGCCTGAATCACTATTAATATTAGCAAGTAACAGTTACATACTGTTGTATTTTCCCCTTTGTGAGCAACTTTACGTGCAGGGCAGGAGTGTTCATTGCCATGAAATGGTTCTCGATAAAAAAAGAAGTATTTGGTGATAAGCCGATCCCTCCCTTCATCAGTTATCTACTATTTAAATAAACGCCATACAGAAATCTATCGAATTGCTCACCTCTAGCGTACAATGTTGGTAAGTTATTGCTTATCTGTTTCTAAGCCCCCCCTGTTTCGTTAGATTCGCACTGTTGACAAAGTACTTATACAGTATGACAAAGTCCATTATACTTATGTTGGTTTCAACGCCAAGTATGGAGGCATGCCATTGCATTCGACTAATTTTAACTGTCAAAGCGATCAGAGGAGCAGGGGCAAAATCCGTTGGAACTTTGGTGCCAGCGGATGGAGCTTTCGATGGATTATTCGAGATAGTTTCCGATCATCCGTTGAGTAAAACAGAGCGGGTAGTCGTAAACGGCCGCTGGAGAGGAAGGCACCATGGGAAAAATTTTCTCATTGTTGATTTTTCCTATTTCACACCTAACATGTAACGATCAACGGAGCGTCGGGTAGAGGCGATCCTGCGGACGGAGGCTTTGGTGTGGCGCCAAGGCCTCCGTCCGCAGCCCGTTCCTACGGGTCATTGCCACCATGGGGCAAGCAGCCATTGATGAAAATGGGCTAGAGCTGCGCCAAAACGTGTGCATGTCTCCACCCGTCCCTTCAACACTGTATATCGATCTAGCTGTTGGCGCGGTAAAACCAATATTTTTAACCAGTCGGTCGGAAATGTCCACCTACCTGTTTGTCAGGCAAAGTTTCGGAAAACATTGGTGAGAGGGAAGGTGGGTTGTGAAATGGGGTCGTATTAGAGGAGAGCATTCGAAATGGTCGTGTTTGACAAAAATTTCGCATGAGTTGATGATGTGTCCTGTTTCCTTCCGTCGCTAATAATAAGAAAAGCAGTCGAGTAGCTCATTCTCGAGCTAGCAACTGAGCTCACCCACCACTTGCACCCTTTCAACTGCGCTTCCTTCCCTTACGGCTTCAACCTTTGATCATCGTGATCTTTATTCCTCTCCTAATTCAGGTTCTACTCGCTTTCTTCACATTCTTGGTCTCCTTCTCCTTCCAAAAGGCGCCCACTATAGGTAAGACTCTCCGCTTTTACAACACGGCTTATTTGAAGGTTAAAAAACACCACGGGCGCACGTAAATTTCGTGGCATGGTAGGATTACCATCGTTATTGAGTAGTATTTAGTAGATAGTACGTATTGTACGCTTTCATCGGTGTGACGCTACCTGTAGGAAAATAGGGGACCTCACTAATGGGTGTATAGTTGTCTTACAATCTGCATATGATCAGTGCAGAATTGTGCCTTCGGCCAGCAGGAGCTGAACCTCGCGCCAAAAGGAATGCACTGGATCTTTCGGTGTCAGCCGGCGGGGTGCCAGCCGAACTTGCTGTTCCCTGTAAAACTCCTTTATGCTTTGCGACAGGCATATTTCCTCAATCGTTCAGCGGAAGTTATAAATTTGAACTCTTTTAGTTGTTTGGTTTGAGAGCTAATGGGCGAGTTCGACTCTTGATCATCTTCGCTATTTTTTTGTCTTCAGTTACCTTGTATGATTCCCGTTTTCAGAAGAATTTCTCGCGCAGCCGATTCCAAAAGAAGCTCATGGGCTGACCGGTGAAGCACTCGTGAAGTATGTGAACGAAAAACAACCGTTTTTCAAGGTTCAGCCTTTCTTTTTTTGCTTTATTTGAATAGGGTCAGATTAATCCCAGTTCTATTCAAAATGGAATTCAGGCCGAATATAGACCAGAGGTCGCGAAACATCGTTTGGGAAATTTGATGAAGATGGAGTATCTTGAACAACACAGAGAGATGTTGAAAACAGTGAGGACAGAAAGTGGGCCGGTCACGAGAATTTGTATGACTCCCTGAAAGGTGATTACGATCGATTTGCTGATTAGCTCTTATCAGGTGATCAGCTCATCTCCCTGTTAGATAACTTATGTGGTCAGATTAATCATACCAAAGATTAGCGTCACCTAGGGGTGATTAGGAAATTTTAAGAAGATACTGTAATCTTTACGACGTCGAGAAATGATCTAGAAATGCTAGCTATGTTTGGAGTTCTCACCCATAACTCAGTCAGATGAGGCGTAAAAATAATTAGGGCCTCGGAATCAGGGGTCAGGACAGTTCGTGTGGACTCGATCCGTTGCACATCCTCTACCGAATAGTTGAGAAGATCACCTCGACTGTAAGGGATGGGCGCTATCTCGGTCCGTTGTGAGACGGGGACAGGGGGGCGGCTATGTTTCCAAATCCTTTTCCTTTGCCAAGACAGGCGTAGCAGGTCGCAGACGACTAGAGTCCCACTGTAGAGTCTCGCAGAGCAAAAATAGACGCGCACTGCTGCGTGCCACCACTCCATTCCCCCTCGATCAACGTTTTCTCCGGAAAATATTTCATTGAAACAGTAAAAAAGACAATTTTTTGTTCAGTTTCGATGGGAGGAAGCAATGGAGTGATTGCCCATCTCTAACCTACATTCGCGACCAGTCGAACTGTGGTATGTGATCGTGCAACTTATTTTTTCTGTTGGCAAAAGGTGATCTGATACAAAATACCCAATCCTTTTGGTATACGTAGATGAAGGACATGAAAATGACTACCACTATGGGTCGTGAAAGCATTTGAAGCGGTGTTTGGCGCATGAAGTGCCGCAGCCAGCTGATGTTCTGTGATATGAAAGGCGGTGAGCAGAGCTCGAAAAACCCGCAGAGCAGGGCGAGTTTGCTCATGCAATTTTTCAATTCGGGAATAGTATTGGATGAACATATGATCCGGGAGGACTTTCGAGGAGAAGGTACGAGCTGCCTGGTTACTTCGGGAAGCCGCACACGGATTTTTGGTTTGGAATCGTAGGAGTCACGGGACGCACTTAACTCAGCCGGCAGGAAGAAATGATTTAGGAGGGTATCGACCATTTTCATATTGGAAACTTCAGTGCGGTTGCTAAACGTAAGGCCTATGGCGCACACAGATCACTGATTAAATTTCGTTCTTGAAAAACCTTCTTTCTTTCCCATTGGGATAAGTTCATGTTACTGCAAAAGGCTCTTTGCAGGATCATGCTGGGCCGTGTCAGCTGCAGAAACTATGTCCGATCGTATCTGCGTCCAGACCCTGGGCAGAGTAAAGGTTGGTCATGCAGTTGTTGCGTCAAAGAGTTTTCTTTCCTAATTGTGAATTTCACGTACCCTTAAAGGCAGTTGGCACGATTTTTCGGTACTCGCCTAAAATGCTAGTAGGGCGCTGTATAGTGGGAAATGGCGAAAGAACGGAGTGAAACGGTCAAAATCCTGCGAAGAAAAAGCTCCGTTCTCAGTGACTTGTAAATCGATCGGACGAGTTTCCCGTAGGCATCTTACCCTTCACCGGCTGCCGAAGGACACGGCTGCTATGCTGTTAGCCATGTATGCTTGGAAGCATCACGTCCGCTTCACATACCAATCCCTTCGCCTTCATTAATTTGCTTAGCATAATGAATGATTAACGAGCCGGGCGGGTCAGGACGAGGTGCTCACCATTTGTACGCCATGTCCGGTCTCTCGATAACTCGGCATAGTAGTTGAATATTTATTTGTCTTCAAACTTCACACGAGGTTGTTAAGCACAGTAGTAGGCTAACGTTTCGGCACGATTGCCTTCTTCGGAGCCTGGAAGTGGAAACCAATTTATGATTTATACGATCAAATGTCATACCACCCACGAGACCTTCGAGACCCACTAGACCATCCCATGACTCCCATTTGTGGGCGGGCGGGCGTTTGGGACGTAAAGTTGTGGCTTGATAGGGCCCTTATAAGGGCACCTTCCTCGGAGGAAACCGCTATGCAACGCCTGCCCAGGGTCGCGGAATTCTATCCTGCCAGGAGTATTGATCCTAGTCGTCTTGGGGGATTTATCGTGCCAACTGCCTTTAAGTCCGGTAGATAAGTCCGCCATTAGAATACGACATTTGTGTCAGAAGACGACACCAAATGGCGCCGTCTTTTGACGCAGATGTCGTATTCGTAAGTATAGAGCATTAAATAATCCTGGTATGCAAGTTTATCTGGTGAGAATGGTGCGGCGCCAAATGGTAGCAGTGCCAAAACGGATGCAGTTTTCGTGGTCAGGGCCTCGGAAAATGAGTCCACGGGCAAATAATTGCTGAATAGCCGTTACCCTCCTCTATGACGTCACCTGTGAACAATTCCTTACAATGTTACAATTTCAGATGATCGTTTCGGATACCGATATCCTTTCATGCTGTGGAAACTTCTGTGGATATGGGTAAGCAATTTTTTTACTGAGTAATTCGCTATAACTGTAACAAAATCATTGTGCTTTGATCTTTCACTTGCTCAACGATGCCCCTTCTAGCGCCAACAACATTTCCACCTCTTTCTACTCTTCAATAAGCTGGTTGAGCATGCTTCTCCCAACTAACCGACTTTGTGATTGGCTTTCATAGGGCTTTCGATCGCAGAATTTACTGTGATGCATGCTTATGGGTTGGCTCCTTCCAAATGTGAATGGGTTCTAAGCTCCGCTGTCATCCCACGGTTCGACTGGCGTAGTGGATAGTGCAGTCGCCGGTCAGCGAGAGATGCGGGTTCGATTCCTGCCTGGGGTCTAGCTAAACAACTCATGTGATAACTTTCGGAGCTCGAACTGCGAGACGGAACTGTTAAACAGCCGTCATCACACTAAAACAACTCAACACGCTAATGGTTAATGCAAATGCCAGGCAAGGCTGAACAATAATTGAAAGCGCAAAGAAATTTCCGTGCAACTTTTCAGCTGCTTGGGCTCTTTTGGCGATTTGACAAACGTAGTGCATCTTAGCGTGTAAACGTTCCAAATAGTCGGCTTGTCGCACATACTTAAGCTCGCTCTCCTTGTAGTTGTAATGGAGGTTATCCCATTCGAGCATGGCAGTACGTCCAGAATAACGGTGTGTGCACTGGAGGACGGTATCAGGAGAAGGTGGGTCCGTCTTATAATGGTCACCTTATTTCAAATGAGAATGGAAGGCTCGTCATTCCGTTCTTATAGTGGGAACGTGTATCAGTAATGATGCCCCCTCACGATGTTCTTCTGCAGTTCATGAGCCAAATGTACAACTGGGTAGTTATTCCGCATTCAGGGCGTTTGCAAGCCGTATCCTTTCTATCCATGCGGACATCACCAAAATCAGACATACTACGGAGAATGCCCTAAGGACCACCTCTACCGGACGCCGGCTTGCAAGCAGTACTGTCAGTATGGATATGGAAAACGCTATAGTAAAGATAAGATTCGCGGTATGTCGGTCATTTTTTGGATTGTGTCGACCCCTTCC